TTATTCGCATTTATTGAAGAGACATACCAAAACAATCATATTGAAAATACGTGCGCATAACTAGTACTTTTTCTTTCAACTGTATAACTTATATCTAGGAAACAAAAGATCATGTGTACCTTGTGCACCATATCCTGCACCTGATTCCGCAGATCGACCCTTCCTTTCACCTGCACAATTCATTTCCGCAAATAATTATTCGCATTTATTGAAGAGACATACCAAAACAATCATATTAAAAATACGTGCGCATAACTAGTACTTTTTCTTTCAACTGTATAACTTATATCTAGGAAACAAAAGATCATGTGTACCGTAAGTAATACCGTATCCTGCATCTGCAGGTTCCGCCGATCGACCCTTCCTTTCACCTGCACAATTTATTTCCGCAAATGATTATTCGCACTTATTGGAGAGACATACCGAAACAATCATATTGAAGATACGTGCGCATAACTGGTATTTTTCCTTCAACTTTATAACTTATATCTAGAAAACAAAAGATCATGTGTACCTTGTGCACCATATCCTGCACCTAGTTCCGCAGATCGACCCTTCCTTTAACCTGCACAATTCATTTCCGCAAATGATTATTCGCACTCATTGGAGAGATATACCGAAACAATCATATTAAAGATACGTGCGCATAACTGATATTTTTCCTTCAACTGTATAACTTATATCTAGGAAATAAAAGATCATTCGTACCGTATGCAATATATTCATCTGATTCCGCAGATCGACCTTTCCTTTGACCTGCACAATTCATTTCCGCAAAGAAAATTATCATTAATAATTTGTGCGTCTCTTTATGGAAATGTGTATTTATTAAATGTCTAAAAACGCACACATACCATCTTCTGGAGCTTTACGAATTGTCTTCTCCTGGCGCTCACGCATATGCGCAAAGTATGCAGCATAAGTATGCGTCCACATCATCATTAATAATGCAAATACAAGCTAAAAGGTTGATAAAAATCATAGTTTTTGAAGTTACATTCAACGTTATTAACTCGCAGAAATTGCAGTATTAAGGAGGTTCGATAGCAAAATCAAAATACTTCAATCTGTTTAAAAATTATATAAAATATTCTTTAAAACAAAACTAATATCATATTAAAATTTCAAACCAATTAACCGTATGATTTTTAAGAAAAAAAAATCTA